TCCCTCTGTCTCTGTCTCTCCCTCTGTCTCTGTCTCTCCCTCTGTCTTTGTCTCTGCTCCTGTGTCTCTCCCTCTGTCTCTGTCTCTTCCTCTGTCTCTCTGTCTCTCCCTCTGTCTTTGTCTCTGTTCCTGTGTCTCTCCCTCTGTCTCTGTGTCTCTCCCTCTGTCTCTCCCTCTGTCTCTCCCTCTGTCTCTGTTTCTGTGTCTCTCCCTCTGTCTCTCCCTCTGTCTCTGTTTCTGTGTCTCTCCCTCTGTCTCTGTCTCCCCTTCTGTCCATCTCTCCCTCTGTCTCTGTCTCTCCCTCTGTCTCTGTCTCTGTTCCTGTGTCTCTCCCTGTCTCTGTTCCTGTGTCTCTCCCTCTGTTTCTCCTCTGTCTCTGTCCCTCTGTCTCTGTCTTTCTCTCTGTCTCTGTCTCCCCTTCTGTCCCTCTGTCTCTCCCTCTGTCTCTGTCTCTCCCTCTGTCTCTGTGTCTGTGGTGGCATCTGCTTGCCTGTCCTGCTCTCGTCTCAGGAACCAGATGTGCCTAAATTCTAACCTGATTCCTCCCTTCAGGCCTCCACCCTTCCCCAGGTCCCCTGTCCTAAGGGCAAAGGTCGGACTCCTGACTCACCCCTCCCGAGTGACCCTCACCCGCCTTCCCTGGATTGTTCCTCGAATGTCAGCATGAACCAGTCAAGTGGGGTGGGGTCGGGGTCAGGCAGCCCCGGGGCCGGAAGGGACGTTATTGTCCAGTGGAGCGGGTCACTGGGGAGACAGATAAGCAAAGGACTCCCAGCGACAGAGCCCATCCCTCTGGGAAGGACCGGGTGGGAGTGGAGGCCGGTCAACAGGGCCATCAGAGAGGGCTTTGCACCCAGCCGGCCCCGCAGGCCAGTGAAGGGGGCTCCCGAGGGAACGGCCCCGAGGGGGCTGGGTGTGGCCTGGTCAGTGACCCCAGGAAAAGTGGCAGCGGGCCGGAAGGATTGCCAGGTGCAGATCGCTGGTGGGCGCGCCCCCACCCACACTAACTGTGCCCCAGACTCTGCTCTGCCTTCAGCATCGGCTTGGCCGTCCTAACCCTCGGGTGGGGATCTTCTCTTGCTCTCCCAGGCTAGAGGCCAGGCTGGGCCGGAGGGCACCCGGGGCCAGAGGGCACCAGGTGGAGGCTACGAGGCTCTCTGCGTGTGCTGCGGGCCCCCCAAGCCTCCCTGCTCGACCTCAGTGGAACCCCGTTTCCCACTGCTGTCCCCCACCCCTCTCGGGGCCGCCCCATGCCCGGCGCTGGGTAGGAGGACAGAAATCCCGCAGCTGCCCGGAGAGGCTGGGGGACAGCCGGGTGATGACCCGGGGAGCCGAGCGCCCTGGGGGCTGCTGTGGGTCCCAGGGGTCCACCTACAGGCGCCCCGCATCTGAAGGGGCTTCGGTACCCAGATGCCAGCGGGGACCCAAAGCTCCCTGGGAGGCTGGTTAGAGCCTGGTGCTCGGGGCCCGGAGGGGTCCAGGCAGCTCCAAACTCCGAGTGAGCAGGGCAGTGGGCTGCTCCCAGGGCCCAGGTCCACCTCACGGCCCTGGACGGGGTGGGGCGGGGCAGGGATGCCCCCGCACACAGCCTGCTGGCAGAGAGAGCCGGGGAGAGGGAGGGCCGCCCCACCTCCTTCTGCCGCTGGGGAGTGTGACGGTGAGCCGAGCATCCCAGGGTCTGGAGAGCAGCGGTGTCCTGCAGGAGGGGGGGAACCCAGCCTCGGGAGCACCCTGGGGGCGGGAGCCTTGGCGGCTGCGTTTGCTCAGAGGGAGGGGCCGGCCAGCGCCTGTGGGGCAGTCCCGAGGGTCTGCGGCGCCTCCACAGATAAGGCATTAACAGTTGGGGCGGACTCACCTTCAGATCTGCTGACGCCAGGTGCTCGGGGCGAGGTGCCAAAGGTTCCCTATAAAGTGCTGGGGCTCTGGGCCTGCGGCCACTCGCCCTCTGGCTCCCGACCCGCCTGGGCCACCAGGGACCGGCCCTGCGACCGCCATGGTGAGGCTCGTGTTGCCCAACCCGGGCCTGGAGGACCGGATCCCGTCCCTGGACCAGCTGGAGAGCATCGAGGCCAAGGAGGCCGGCTCCCGGCCCCAGTGGGACAACAAGGCCCAGTACATGCTCACCTGCGTGGGCTTCTGCGTGGGCCTGGGCAACGTGTGGCGCTTCCCCTACCTGTGCCAGAGCCACGGCGGAGGTGAGCCCCGGGATGGAAGGGGGTCCGCCTGCGAACAACGGGATGGGGCCCCGGACCGAGGAGCCCATTCGCCGGGAGGGGGAGGAGTCCCGGGGGGCCGTGGTCACACACGCGGTTCTCCTGGAGTGCCACCCGCCTCCCCTGTGGATTCAGCCTCCACATCCGCAGCGGGGGCAGGGCTGGGCAGGGTTGCAGGGCGGTCCGGGCCCCCACAGCGCTCTGCTCTTGGCTCGTGGGGCCGGCCAAGGATGTCTGCCGCCCGGACCCGCGCGTCCAAGCGTCTGTGTGCGTCCTCGAAGAGCACACCTGACCTGGGTGTGAGGGGTCTGAGGGGAACCGGCCACTCCTCTGGATGGAGCCCCCTCTCTGAGAGTGGGAGGGGCAGCGGGGGACAGCCCTTCACAGGGCCACCACGCGGGCACCGCACTCCTGCCTGGACAGAGGAGGGAGCTGGGCCGGGAGCAGGCGACCCACAGAAGGACTCCCTGACCTCAGGCCGCCCTGCCACCCCCAGAGGCCTTGGAGGGCCTTGCCTGGACCGCAGGGGTCTCCTTCCACAGGCCGAGGCTGCCCCTCTCCCTCCCCCCAGCCCTGTGGTGCTGGCTCTGTGTCCTCACCATCTTCGCTTCACCCGCCTCCGGTCCCTGTGGACGACAGGGGCGGAACCCCCACGAGTCCGCGGCCGGGCCCTGGGCCCAGGGAGGGGTGCCGCAGCCCTGGGGAACCCTGGGGAACCCTGGGCTGGGGCTGAGCTGTAAACCAGGAGGGGTCTGGGGCAGGGGCAGGGGCTCACTGGGGACACCGGCTGTGCAGAGTGGGCTGGCTGTCCCGGGGACGGGCGCCCCAGTGATGTGTTTGCGGGGCTGTTTGTTTGCTTCTTACTCTGAAGCACCCGCAGGCTCTCGCCTGGGCTTTGTGATCTAAAAGCATCCCCGGGAAAGGCAGAAGTGCCCGTTCCTGGGTCAGCCTCAGGGGCCCTGAATTTCCCAGGGTTGAGCTTCCCAAGGTCTGGGAGGGTGTGTCTCACAGACCCTTGGTCCAGCTTCCGACTCCGGAAGTGGAAGCGGCAGCCACAGCACAGGGGGAGCCAGAGGGAGGAGGGGCCCCAGCAGAGCAGCCTCTGCTCACGGTCCGTCCGTCCGTGAGCCTGCCTCCCAGCTGCCTCTGGGGCCGCTGCCCCTTCCTTCTGGGACTTCCCGCTCACGTGCCACAGGGCCACCCTAAGAGAGGGTCCCAGCCTGCTCCTGCTCACTTGTAACTGGGAGCCCAGCACCCTGCAGATTTCCTGCCCCCTGGACAGGGAAGGGGGCTGGCTGCACCCCTGCACTGCGGTCCCGGTGCCGTATTCACCCGTGGGAACCGTGCCCCCAGACCCTGCAGACTGACGGGGCTGTCCCCCAGTCAGCCCGGGGAGCGGAGGCCTGCGCTGCGAGGTTCCACCCTGGCGGCGGGGCTGGGGGTCCAACCTCTGAGCTCTGGGACCCTCCGTGGCTCACGCTCTGTCCCGTCCAGGCCACCCACGCCCACCGGGAGGCCAGCAGCGGAGCCCAGGAGGCGGAGGGCCGCAGGGAGGTGACCGCAGCCAGTGACCCTCCGCGCGACGCCTCCCACGCCTGCGGCCCCAGCTGTAAGGGGTTGGGGGGGGGGCGGTGGCATGACTTGAGGGAGATGGTTCCGTGAAGACGTAACATGCCTCCAACTACTTCCAGGACTTTTGGGTAATATGCAAAGTACGACAAATATTCATTTACTTTATTTTTAACTTTATATTTTGGGGGAAAAAAAGTCAGAAAAGTAGACAAAACGACATCCCGGACCCTGATTTCGATTCAGCCGACAACGTTCTGCCGTATCCGCTGTGGCCGCGGCGGTGCGCACGCACGCACCCACCCGACACGCCTGCGCGCACACATCACGCACTGACGCACATGCCCACGTGCGCACGCATCCACGCTCTCAATGCGTGCACACCGCACGCACCTACACACGCGCGCAGCCCACACCCACGTGTGTGCACACACGCCCCCGCACATCCGTGCAACACCCACACAACACGCGCGCACCCATGCACGCATGCGCGCACAGTACGCACCCACACACATTCACACGGCCGTGCACCCACACACGCACGTATTCATGCACGCACACACCCACTCACCCACGCGCGCGTGCACCCACGCGCAGTGCCCCCCCCCCCCCCGCGCATGGCGTTAGGAGACTGTGTGGTCACTCGAAAGGTCCCCAACGCTGGGTCTCTCTGGGGTCCCGGGGCAGCGCTGTGAAGGGTGCAGATGCAGTGGTTCCCGGGTGGGCTGTGTCCTCCGCCTGCACCACCTCAGGGGGATGTGTTTGGCTAGTGCTCGTCCCACCTCAGTGGGAGTTGGGCACCGGGCTCTGTGCTCGCCTGCAAGTGACACAGGTCCACGAGCCCCTGAAGGGCAGGTTTATCCCCACATCACATGGTGGGGTGGCACACAGCCACCCCACGCCCTGACCCAGAGCAGGCACGGGGCACGCGCCTTCACAGGGAAGCTTCCTGGGGCAGGAGAGAGCATCGGAGGGGGGTGGGGTGGGAATAGGATGCAAATGGAATTAGGGTGGGACTAGGGTGGGACTAGGGTGGGACTGGGGTGGGTATGGGAAGGTGCTGCAGGGTTTGTGGGTCACGCTGTCCTAGGAGGAAACCCGTGTGTGGACCCGGGCCTGGGCCTGGGTGCTGGGCAGGGGCACATGAGTTGAGCCCAGAGCTGGCATCAGGAACTCCTCCAAGGGTCCCTGTCTGTCCCCTCCCCCAGAGTCACTGCTGCCACATGTCAGACGCGTCTCCGGGTGCACTTCTCTTTAGGAGTTTCCTCCTCTATGAGCTCAGATAGTATCGCCCTCTGTGCCTTGGCCATGGTGACCCCGTGCTGGCCTCCCGGGCCTGGAGAGGACCTGGGCACAGGCTCTAAGGTGCAGTCCCCAGGGGCAGGGAGGGCAGAGCTGCTCGCCCAAGATGGCTCTCCGGCGTTTGGGTGATTTCTGGAGAGCTCAGTCTGGTCTGGACTGTGGACGGAAGGCGGGAAGGCCCGGGGGTGGGGGTATGGGGGGCAGCAATCCACATCTGCCTTCAGGATGACAGTGACAGGGATGGAGGCGAGGGACCCTGGGGGTGACAGTGGAAGGGTTGGGGGGAGGGACCCTGGGGGAGGCAGGCAGTGTCCTGGGAGTCGGTCCCCCACCCGCACGTCTGTCGCCATGGCCTACGGGAGCCTGGGGAAGTGATGCTACTTTCCCGGGACCAATTCCGTGATGAGTGCCACCCCGTTGAGAGTATGGTTACCCCTCAGGACTGACACAACCGGGCCTCCCGTGGGTCTCCAGACTCCCCGCCCTGTTTCCCGGTTCCTTAGAACGCAAGCCGTGCTTCCGCACCGGCGGGTCTGTCCCCCTTGGGTGCCGTCCACCCCTCCCCCGTGCAGCGGGCTGCCTCTGCGTGTGTGCGCGCGCGTGTCCACCGGTGCGGAAGCCCGGGCAGCACAGGGACGCCCGTCTCCAGGGACCTTTGGAACCACATCCAGGCGCCACGGTGCCTGCTGGCCATTCTCCCTCCTCTGCCCTTCCCTGCTTCCTCCACCTTTACCCACAGGAAGGAAAGAAGTAGCTGGGTTAAAAAAAAAAAAAAAAAAAGCCACGTATCCCCCAGGGCCTAATCTGTAAAGAGCTCTTGGCCTTGCTGGAGAACATTCTCATCCCTGGAAAGAGCATGGGGCCGAGGGGCTGCTCCAGGCTGGACGCTGCCCCGGGCCGGGGTACTGGGTAGGCAGACCCACCTGCCTCGCTGGCATGGGCCCCACAACATGGGGACACAGACGGCTCATTTTGGGGGTGGAGTGGGCATGTGCCTGACCTCGCCTCCCCCCTTCCCCCGCTGGCTGTGCCCACCAGGCGGAGCCTCACACTCGGGGGAGCCGCCCACCTGGAGGAGCTTGTGTGAGGGAGGGCGCCAGGAGAGCCGAGGAGGCTTCCTGGAAGAGGGGCTATCCGAATGGGGTTTCCCAGGATGAATAGGAGTTTCCTGATGGGGATGGAGGGACCAGAAGGCTGGTGGGTGAAAGTGGCGTCATGAGAAAAGGGGAGATTGAAGGACATTCTGGAGCCTTGTCCCCAAATGGACTTGTTTTCTTGGTAATTTTGCTCAGAGATTTTTTTTCTTTCTCTCTTTTATTTAAAAAAAAATGTTTAATTTTGAGAGAGAGAGAGAGCATGCGAGGTGGCGGGAGGACAGAAAGAGAGGGGGGCAGGGTATCCAAAGTGGGCTCTGTGCTGACAGCAGCGAGCCTGACGCAGGGCTCGAACTCACAGTGAGATCGTGGCCTGAGCTGATGTTGGACCCTTGACCGGCGGAGCTCCCAGGCGCCCACTTAGAGATTCAAATCAAGCCCCTAAGAAAACGTTGGAGAGGCAGCTCTTTTATTTTATCTTAACCCTCACGGACACGGTGACACGGTGACCCAGTGAGCAGGTCCTGGTGGGGTGTAGGTGGCCCCTGCCCGTGAGCCTGTGGCCCGACTGGGCCCCCAGACCCAAGGGGATCCAGCTGGTGGGTCTTCCGTTCCCCGTGCCCGTCCTCGCTCTTTGATTTTCTGTCATTGTCACCTTGAGGGCCACATCCCCAGTCGTGGCCCATGCCCCTTGCTGTCCTGGAATTTTGACCTCGGCATCCGAAGGGGCCTGTCCCTGGAGCCCCGCGTTGGGAGGGAGGCCACTCAGGCAGTCCAGCACGCAGACCGAGGATGGCCCACTGCGGGGTGGGAGCGCCACTGGGCTCCGCGCGGGGGGCGGGGGGGCTGTCCCTCCCAACACAAGGGCCCCCGCAGAGGAGAAAGAGGCAGGGAGCGAACCCAGGGCAGAGGGGGTATAGGCTGATGCTGGCAGAGATGGCCCAGGGGAGGGACCGAATGCTCGCCCCTCCCCCGCCCCCCGCCAAACGCACCAGTCAGTCCTGAAGCCATCGGTGTGTCCAGACCCTCGTCAGCAGTCCCTACAGCGCAGCTGCGACCTGGCCCGAAGTTCACGATCTGCTGACCTCGGCTGTGCTGGTCTCTGCTAGGTCACGCTCGGCCTGAGGAGGGAGCGGCCCAGGGGCCCCCGAGCCCGCCGCCTTCACTAATTTCCCGTCTCAACCTGTCGTCCTGCGCTGAGCCAGCCTGGTCCTGGTGCCCCCAGTCCCGGGGGTCCCTGCATCCCCTCATGTGGTCGCGGCTCCGGGTCAGGGCCTTCCGAGGCCCTCAGTGTTCCCCAGCTAGCCCCCCGAGGCTCAGATCAAGGACCCCGGCGTGCACTCCCCCTGGGTCGGTGTGTCTGAACCCTCCGCTCCCGTGACCTCTCCCCTCTGACCCTCGCACCCAGCTCCCCCCGGCACGCGGACGCCTCCGCTGATTCCGGGGGCTGCCGTCACGGCCCACGGACGCCACCGTCGGGAGGTGGCGCGTGGTGGCTCCCTGCGCAGCGGTGCTCGTGGCCTTGGGGTCGGGAAGCTCCCAAGTTTGTGTCTCTGCGGGTGCTTCCTACAAACGCCTGCGTCGCCAGGGGTGGCCCGTCGCCCTCCCGTGAGCCGTCCTCTGACACGCTGTCGCTTCTGCCCACACAGGGGCCTTCATGATCCCGTTCCTCATCCTGCTGGTCGTGGAGGGTATCCCCCTGCTGCACCTGGAGTTCGCCATCGGGCAGAGGCTGCGGAAGGGGAGCGTGGGCGTCTGGAGCTCCATCCACCCGGCCCTGAAGGGCGTAGGTGCGCCGCCGGGCTCTGCCGGGGTCCCGTATTGGCAGCACGCGCCCCTCCTTCCTTCCCCGCCTTCACTGCCAGATTTCAGGGAGAGGAGGGGCCCAGCGCTTGGGCCCCGCCCCCCGGGTCTTCGCAGACCCCTCCTTACAAGCTCAGGTCAGGGCCTGGGTCACTGCTGGCCGCCAGGGCCCAGCAGGGCAGCGGACACCATCCTGAGTCCCCAGGCGACCAGCGGGTTGGAGGGTGTAGACGCACTGGGAGAGTAGAGACCCCGCCCCTGCCGACTCCCTGCCCAGATCAGGGCTCGGCAGTGGCTGGATGGCCCGGAGGTGGGCTGACTGCTGAGGCCACACTCTTGCTCTCCAAGTTTCCTCCATCCACTCCTTACGGTCAGCAAGGAGGTTCCTCCCCAGCAGTGACACCTCAGCCGGCACTGACCCCTCGGCCGGCACTGACCCCTCGGCCGGCACTGACCTCTCGCCTGG